AGTGCATGTGGCTGGAACATGTCAGTGTGGTGACAGTGCAGGGGCTGCAACATGTCAGTGTGGTGACAGTGTAGGGGGCTGGAACATGTCAGTGTGGTGACAGTGCATGGGGCTGGGACATGTCAGTGTGGTGACAGTGCAGGGGCTGGGACATGTCAGTGTGGTGACAGTGCAGTGGCTGGGACATGTCACTGTGGTGACAGTGCAGGGACTGGGACATGTCACTGTGGGGACAGTGCAGGGGCTGGGACATCTCACTATGGTGACAGTGCAGGAGCTGGAACATGTCAGTGTGGTGACAGTGCAGGGGCTGGAACATGTCAGTGTGGTGACAGTGCAGGGGCTGGGACATGTCAGTGTGGTGACAGTGCAGAGGCTGGAACATAGCAATGTGGTGACAGTGCACAGGCTTGGAGACGGTGGTGTGGGGACAGTGTAAGGGTTGTGATGTGGAAGAGTGCGCATGCTTGGAGACGGTGGTGTGGGGACAGTGTAAGGGTTGTGATGTGGAAGTGTAATGACAGTGTAGGGGCTAGAACATGGCAGTATTTCACTTGCATCCAACCTCACCCGTGACTCGCATCACTATTTAACCGCTTGGCTACAGCTACACCATCAAAGGGATTAAAAAAGGACAAACCTTGGGGTGCGTGGTGAGGGTGGACGAACTCGATAGATAGACAATCTTCTCGTGTGCAGACTGTATAACCCAGTTGCAACTCCCAATGCAGTAGCCCGAACTAACGGGTGCCAGATTCACGCAGCCAAATAAGCTCTGAAAGGAAAATAAGGCCTAATGTGTTAAATACACCAGGGGTGTGTACAGGGGAGGTCCAGGGGGTCCGGACCCCCCTGCTCGCACAGAAAACGCATCTGAGGGGGTCTAATTTCCAAATTTTTCGACCGACTTCGCGTGCTCGCAAGTTTGGGTTTCGGTTAGACCCCCCTGGTCTAAATCCTGTACACGCCCCTGTACACGTGCAGGTTTTCTCATCATTCAAGATGCATAGCTTTGTTATAAACGCGCATGTTTACTCCTGTGACTTTCGATAGTATATTTCTTGTAAAATTTTGCTGGATCTTCGTCTAAATTAAAATGATTTCATACAGCATGCTGATCAATTGGAGGTTTTTAAGCAAAGGCATTTACGATGTGTCTTCCACTACTTCTTACTGCGACGAACCATTTTGTGTCTATACCTCCTCCAATTTCAAAAAGTACTCATACAAATATGCAAAACAGCTTGACGCCAGTGAATGAAAGTGAAATAGCAAGAAAATAAAAATGTAAACACTTGCCAGTTTTTCGCCGAAATTCACCATTTGCACGCGAGCAAGGCTACTGCGAATATCCTGCCTGCTGTAACAGTGGCGCCAGCTAGTGCTTTGTTTAATTGCTTCCCGGAAATGCTGCGGCACGTATCTATAATAAAATAAAGCAGATTTTGTACATCCAATGTAAAACATTTTCCGATAAGTTTTCCAAGAATTATTCAGGGATTGAAGCCGTTCACTTCCCATGACTGTAATATTTTAGCTGAATCCGATCTTTCTGCTTTGTATCGTGTAATCAGTGCTTAGTGAACACTCTTGTAGAAAGGAAATTTTAATGTGTTTGAATCAAGACAGATATAGGCTCATTTTCGATGTCCTTGGGATCATGCACAATATTATCCTTTTTTTACAGAAATTTGCAGATCCGGAAAATGGAAGTTTAAAATTCCATGACTTTTACAAACATTATTTATGTAATCAGCAATATTTTACTGCCTTTGAAAAGTTAACAGAAATTATCAGAAGATGGTGTGCAGAGCATTTTTGACAATGCTGTAGTAACATGTTCACGTTTAAATCCCAAAGTGAGCACAAAAAAGGGTTAGCAAATGAAATTGACAAGAATGTAATGGTATATGCAAATGACCAGATATATTACAAACCTTTACAGGGAAATCAGATTAACGTCAGTTTTCCTTTTTTAGGACAACGATTTTTCATGTCAATCATGTGCAAAAAATGGCAACCATTTTATCAAAGTGAATGCAAGTGAGTAATCATCTAAAAGACTTGCGTATTATATATATCGATGTTTGATTACATGTAACTAGATGCTTTTTTTAGCAAGAGTGTTCTCTATTGCTGAATGAATTAATAGTGGATTTATGCACTACTGTTCCTGCATTTATTTTACGAGAAGAGTGATAGAGATAGAAAATGATCCATAATTCAACTGCCCACCTGAGCAAATCTGAACTTTTCCATTTGTTTGACAACCGTTCTTTTGGTCGGCGCTCCAGGTAATGAACTAGTTCTTCCATAAATTGCCTGCTCAAGCAAATTAGGAAACAAGAGAAGGCAAAGATAAGGAAATGAAAAATCAATATTTCAAGCAAGCAAATATCGTCATTTACGCAAATGCATTATGAATTTTGTACATACCCATTCAATAATGCACAAGAACAATTTTTAAATTTCAACTCAAATAAATTCATCAGGAACTATGCCTAGTTGTCTTTACATTGGATTAGTAGAAATCAACAACAGTTTAATATAATTGTGTATAACCAGATAACATCAAAACTCTTCGTATTTTACATACAATCTCAACAACCAGTTATTTACTAATAAGCACTTCATTTCAGCATGATCTATAGATATGCTTCAGAACAGCTCAGAAGGACAGACCAGTTCGACTACTGTGATTAAATTATGATAACATAACTACGCAAACCTTCCAGTTTGCAGCGATGGCTCAGTGGCATACACTATGCCCTTGAATCCCGAGTACTCAGTGATGAATGGTAGAGCTAGCATGTATCTGTAGTTGGAAATCAGAATGCAATCCACCTCTTCAAGATTCAGCAACTCAGTCTGTAGAAACGTGAAAATCCTTATTGAAATTGAGGCATTGTGATGTGTTTACTAGCTGTAAATGTTAATTAATACATGGAGCACATCAACATGACTTTTTCTATAAATGACAGATTATAACATTATTGTCACATCATTATAATATATATCTAGTATATATATATCATATATTATATAGTATATATACTCATATATATATATAGATATAGTATAATAGTATATAGTATATATATGTGAGAAGAGACAATCTGTGCATGTAGTATATATATAAGAAGTTATAGAAAACCAATCAAGAAAAACGGTATGATATGGACTGCGCGAATGCGAAGTGCAAGGTATTGTGATCAGGTTATGAGATATGATTGGGTGATGATAAAACAAACTAACGTACTCCACGCCTCAGGCACGCAAATTCAGGCATGGCGTCAATGAATGGTTCGCCAGCGCATTCTTTCAGATCCTGACAGGCTGTTTTCACATCCACAGATAGTGAGCTGTCCTTGGGCTTCCACATAGGCAGATTTGCCAGCCGTGCACTGTGAAAATGAAGTTGAGAATGTTTGCATTTTCATTAAACATCCGTTTCATGTCGAAATATTTATTTCTATTATTTATAACCGCCAAAGGAAATTAGAATAATATGGATTTCATGAAAAATCCAATTATATGCAAACAACACTAAATATACGTTGGTTGCATAATGGCCATTTGGTACAACACTATATCATATATTATATATTAATCCCATGAATAAATTGTGGCAAAATTGAATATAAATGGCATGATTTAGATATACCTGTGAACTAGTGGAAGAGGCAAGAAGCTTAAAGCTGATGTAAGGCCTAGGGCACAATCCAACATGATAGTTGTGCTCTTGAACTTTACTACCAGACATGGCTGATTTGGATGTCCACTAAGGCAGTACTGAAAAAGAACTTCGGTAATTAAAATATAATTTCAGAACCAGAGAGACATGATACAAGAATTGTGGGCGAGTGGCCAGCTTTGCTGTTGATTCCTAAGGCGCTGCGGCGTGGCATGAACGCGCAGTTTCCGCGGGGGATGAATGCGTCAACGCGACGCCGGGGGGATGGTTCAAGTGATGAAGCGCGTCGCGCAGTGGAGACGTGCGCCAAATCGAGCCGCGGCGCACGTCTCCACAGCGGCCAGCGGATGGTGCTGTAAGTTTTACGAAGATGACACATGGATTATATGGACGCATATTCTAGAATTGTAGAGGTTATGAATAATAATATACTTAAAAAATCGCTCAGTCATGCGGCTCGAGATTAGCGCACAAGTTCCATTCTCGCTTATGCACTACATTGGGCTACTGTTGCCTACGACGTGTAACAGTCGAGACCCTGGTCAGTTAGCCGCCAGATTAGCTGAAATCAAAAAGATTAGAATTTATATATGAACAAAACAATATCAGCATAGTATATATAAATATTCACAAAGCAGAAAGAAACGGATCGAACGTGATAGTTTTTTAACCTATTTCTTAGGCAACCAAGTAATATAAAAGAATTCACCAATATTCATACCTAGGGGATTTAATATAGGAGGTTATAACGCTATGAATAGAGTGGAGTCCGAACTGAGAAAATGTATTAATTAATTATGAAATTATTATTAAATAAAACATTATTGTTATGTCTCCGTCGTAAGAACTATAACATTTATTGTAATAGGTTTAATGGCTTGGTTTAGATAACTCAAACAACAGGGTTACAACTTAAACCAGGCGTCAACAAAAGGCCAGCGAGGGCTGGAGCTGGCACACAAACGTCTAGCGGCGTAGGCTCGCTGGTGCTAGCAAGTGCCAGCACAACGAACCGTTTACGTATGAGAGAGCGGTGCAGGCGCGGGCGAGAGTGGAATGAGAGGAGGTAGGTGGAGAAGAGAGGACACGTTACGCTTAAGTTCTGCGGGCGGTTGTCGATGTGCGAGAAAGGACCGAGCCGATCTACTGTATAGATGGTGGGCGGCTGACATGACGGAGAGGTCGCGGCGAGACAGGTCTCAATTGTCTATGAGCGCAGACAGCTTGTGCAGCGAGTGGAGACAAGCACAGGAACTTGTAATCACAGAGTGAGGCGTGATTCGTGAATAAGCAGAGATGATAGGGGTGTGAGAATGGGCAACAAGAGCAAAAATTGTGGAAATGCATACTATAGAAGAGCAAGAGTGAAGTTCCAGGGTATGAGCGGAAAGTTAGGACTCAAGACTGTTTTTGAGCGCACTATGGCACGCGGAATAGAGACGGCGCTCAACGTCGTGCTGTGACTAGTGCTAGGTTGCGATAGCACGACGTTTGAAAATGCAGAATTTTTCTTCTCTTTGATTGGCGAAATGCATCGCCGGGCATTTCATTATTTTACGAAAGTCAACGGGCTCTGCAGTGAGGGTAGCACGGAGTGCAGCTCAGTGCGTTGACGGCCCGTCATGGTCATGCCAATGGCAACAATTAAGGCGGGGCTCATCGTGCCTACACGAGTATGGCGAAATGAGAAGAAAAAGAACTTAGGGGCGACTGTGCGCAAACAGCGTGTTAATTCGTATTTGGGCCAGAACTATATCGGTAATGAAAGCGCGTTGTCTAGCCTAAGCAGAATGCCGCTAGGTTCCTGAGATCTGCGATCCGTGTCCGAATGATATTGTACTGCACAAATTTTTGATCATAAAGGGGCGGCGGTGACTTGTGATTGGAAGACACAAAGTGTCAATGCCTCGGCTAGCGGCCTCGGGATCCATGGCCGCGTTACGTCTAGTTTTCCATTTACACCATTTAAAAAAATATACTCTTATGAAAACAATTTTCATCTCAGCTACCATCAGTACATGAATGACTACAGCTAACACACATTACAGCAAAGATGAAAGTGGAATTTGTCCAAAACATAAGAAAATAGTAAACGACAGCTTTCGACAACGATAGCCGTAGGCCACCGAAATGGTGGGCGAATGGCACCCAGAAGGGAACATGGCATGCCGCGTTGTGTACGGAAGGGGTGCTCGAGCATCCGAGAACTTGTTTGGGGAATTTCAGGTGTCCTTCAGATGCAATTTCAGGCCTAATCGCTCAGCAGAATGCGAATAGTTTATTTGAGAATAATCAGAAAATAGGATTCCGGTCCAAAAATCCGGAAAACTTACATCTCTGTTACAGGAGAGGGGCGATAGAGTTAGATTCAGACAGATGAGAGACAAGACTAGAGAGAGAGATGGCGAGAGAGAGATGAGAGAGAGAGAGAGAGAGATTGAGAGAGCAGAGAGAGAGAAAGAGAGAGAGAGAGAGAGAGAGAAGAGAGAGCGCGAGGAGGAGAAGAAGAGAGAGAGAGAGAGAGAGAGAGAGAGAAAGAGAGAGAGGGCGACGAGAGAGAGAGGAAGAGCAGAGAGAGAGAAGAGAGAGAGAGAGAGAGAGAGAGAGAAGCAGAGAGAGAGAGAGAGAGAGAGAGAGAGAGAGAGAGAGAGAGAGAGAGAGATATTGTACTATGGTGACAATATACAGCCGGTCGATAAGACAAACAGTGAATACGACAGGTAGACGGTCAAGCGACTACTAGACTTTACTCCTAAAGAAAGTACTTTTCCATTTTAATAACTTCTATGGTGGAGGGATACGGTTTAAAAACGTCAGTTACAACTGATTTTAGACTAGAAAAGGAGAGGGAAGCGGCCATATTGTTATTCGCGTGTGTTTTTGCGGGAGAAGTTCAAATTACCCCATCGACCTAGATAAAATAAACTGCTAAGCCTGGGCAATAAAAGTATAGATCTGAATGTACAGAGGGGGCGAGAGAGTGTGCGAGAAAAGAAGAAAACATCAAAGAAGCTTAGATACATTTGGTAATAGATGGGACCCTCAATGTTATAGTGTATATATAGATGAGATATGTGGGAAGAACGCTGACGGATAGTCTTATGCCGATGATTTCGTGTAATGGACTGCGCTTTATGGGTAGGTAGGAAAGGTTATGGACTAAAAATAGGATATATTAGTACATGTATGTATGTTAGCTAGGCTAATATATGACCATGGACGATATATATTATACGTATATATCATATATTATAGTATATATATGTTATATATATATTATATAGCTATATATTATATATGTTATTATTACCATCATATTGTTGTTGAGACACCCTAATGGAGTACACCACAAAGTTTCAGGGGAGTTAGGGCTAAAGGAAAAGACAGGCACTTCTAACTAAGGAGAAAAGTCAGGTAGGCCTGAAGGAGGAGGTTGACCTGCTGAGAAGCAGAGAGGATGCAGGGACAGCTACGAGGTTCTGTATCAGCTCAAACACAAGAGACGAATCCGTCAAGGAACTCAAAGGAAGTGTGGTACCCAATAAACACACGCTTGTTAGTTTTGGCGAGACGGTCGGAATGCGACGTAGCGTCGGGTAGGCGAGTGCGCAACACCGTGACTAGGCTCCAAGGTTTAAAAAGGCTATTAGATCTTGCGGGGAAGTGATGGGATAGAAAAAGGATAGGTGTGTTGTAATGCTTTTGGAGGGGGCGGAGCAATAAGACAGAAAATAGACAGATAGGATACGTAAATGTTCCAGGAGTAGACAGGGCGCACAGTAGTTGATGCATGTAGGGGTTAACTGATGGTTCTAGGTAACAAGAGATCTAGAGGTGGCTAGAAGGGAAATGACATAAGTTTAATTATAAACCAGCAAGCAAATGACATAACAGGGAAGCTAGTCAGTTTCAGGTAAGCAATCCGTTGTTGTTAGTCTAAAGACACCAACCAGTAAAATGTGATGTCCATCAACGCACACGCATCCGGACCATGTGCAAGGCCCAGAGTAGGGTAGAAGTATCTAGACAACTGGGTCAGCACGTTCGCGGGCAGGAGGGACGCTTTCTACACCGCATGACACGGACTAGCACGTTAAACAGGAAAGGAGGTAGATCGACTGCTGGAATAAGCTTCGTTAAAGTTCATCAGGAAAACTAGAGAGTTGGGGCCTCAAGGCATCAGATGGAGCACAGGATATATCAAACGTGGATAGGCATCGCGGAGAACCGGCTAATCCTAGGAGCTCCAAGCTATCACACTTTCCAGACACGGCAGATAAGTTCAACGAACACACAGCGATGCATAATAACGCGGAATATGAAGCCATGCGCAATCGGCGACTCATCAGAATTCAAGTTTTTCCCCAAAGTAAGGTCTACATTTCATTCGATTTAGCATGCCTCGCAGTAATCCACTTCCTAAAATAGAAGAATTAGTATATATTGGCTATGCAAGCAGGATTTGCAGTGGATTGCGATATCTGAGTCCTGCTAGATGATTCAGTTGATGAGCTCTGATTAAAAGTCGCAAAATTATAGTGTAGACAGGCAGGATAGAGACTAGATGAGGTGGTGGGGTGTGTATTTTTTCATCAGCAATAAATTTAGCATATAACAAAGAACTGATATGGATAAAGTGGGGCTAGAAGGCTATAAATGGGTTGATATCTTACTACCTAAGATGCAAACCAGATATGACCGGGGTATGCTATTGGACGCACCAAAATCAAGGCAACTTCTTCGAACTATTGCAAAATATTTGGTTATAAATTGCTCGACAGGTTCAATGAGCAGGAACATTATTATATGTAGGGGATTTCAAATGCTTAACGTCGCTAGAAAAATCAAAACAGGAATAGGTGATAGAAATGCTTAAGGCTCTTAAAGATTATTGCTTGCCAATATGATCTCAAACAACTAATCACTAGCTCACGACTAAGTAACTAATAGTAAGTTTTGGGGAGTCCCCCCCCCCCCGCCATCTGATTTATAATGGTTTCTGATGCATGCTCAAAATTAGTCAATTCGAGCATCATAGGCCAAGGGAGTGAGTGATGCATTTTTAACTTACTGTACTAGAAAAAAATTCAAGACAGGG